TTGTAATAAGAAACAAGTAGAAAATGGATGAATAAGAAACAATCCAAGAAAATTAAAAAAGAGTTATATCGTTTTGATGTATAGAGAGCCGAGAGCGTTCGGGTGTGTAGAAATTCACTCAGTTTGTGTTTGTTTGCGCTTCTCCATCTGTGTGTAGTATGCGTGTGAGAAAGTAGAGGAATGAGAGAATATTTCAACAGAAGTCATCAAACTTACAGAATTTTCATATTAGTCATTTAACATTAATTTATTCTAATCTGATCACTTACTTTATATTTTTAATTGAATTTAACTATTCCGTCTGCGACCTTGCCCAAATTAAGCTCACGTTTGGGTTAGCTAAAATAGTTATTAAAAATTTAAATAAAAAATAATAATTAATTTTAATCAAGCATATTATTAGAGCCTGTTTGTTTCTGATTAAAATCCAATTAAAATTGAAAATATGATCGTTACTGGGTCTCATTCGTCTAATAAAAGTCAACAATAACGATTAGTTTTTCAATTTTAATCCGATTTTAATCTCTACCGAACCAGCCCTAAATTCACAATTTTTATCAAAATTTTACTAAGCCCACGTTTGGGTACCTTCTTTTCTCATTAAAATGAAAAATATGTGAGTTATCCATCACATCAATATTTAAATTCAAATTTTATATCTCTTATGTGGGCCTCAATAACGACTATATTTTTCATTCTCATTCTACAAAAAGGTGGCTCAAACAAGACCTAAAATTTTGATTTTTAGCAAAATCAAAAAGGATCTAAAAACAATTGAAACCTGCTGACACATTATGATGCAACTTATATTTTTAATAACCTAGCTAGAAGGATCATCATGTCATAACTAGCTTTTTTGTTTGGAAGAGGTGCATCTTCAATGGAGACGTGCAGCACACTCGCTTCGAATTTCATCTTCAATTCACGAATTCAATGAACTTTTGTGATTGATATAGACGGAATGGTTAACTTTTAAAAAAAAAAGTTTAATGTTAGTGATTACATTGACATAGGAATATAAACTGAGCGATCAAATTGAAGGAAAATGAAGTTGCATGACCAACATGAGAAGGATCTAAAGTTTGATGACCTTAAATGAGATTTCCC